TTACGCCCTGTAGTTATTAGCAGAGATGACTAGGTGACAGTGAGGACACTAATTGAAAATTTGCATTTGACAGATCATTGACACACAGTCACAGTTCTATTTTTTCCTCTTCACTTAAACAGAAGTCATGCAATAGGAAATGAACTGGAGCTATTAGAGATTATTCAGGTTTAATAGCACACATCCTTTTAGCTGGCGGTTAGAACAATGCACAATGTGGCAGAGTTAAACGGAGGCATCAATTATACTCTCAGACCTGTTAATATTTTTGACAATATTTAAATAGCACATCCCTTCAGGGCATGGCTTTTTTGCCCTCTCTGTTACACACCTGTCAAGTGTTTAATTTGCCAAAGGGAAACAGTTTGATTTCTAAGGGCAGTCTTAGTACTGAAGAAGCAAATTGGAAAAAATTAAACATTACTGAATAGAAGTAATGAGAAGGATCTGAGAGGAAAAAAAATTGTAGGCTTAATTCAACATGACATGTCAGCATCTGTCGTTAATGCAACAATATGATCCTGTTCTCCAATATGCTGCTATACCTTGGGTGTTTCCACTATTCATTCTTTTTGCTTCTCTGACAAGAGAATGGTGGAGGGAAAGAACTGGAGGGATCGAATGTTCTCATGGCCATAAGGGATGGAAACAGTAACTTAACCTACTATGCTTATAAAATTATACATGTGAAAGTATAAGATAATATAAGCTAGCCACTGCCCAGATTTCTGTAGCCAAGTTTAAAGGCACGAAACAAATTTCATTCCTTGGATGTACTAATTAATTACTACATTATAAAGATTAATACATTAGCTGTGTGAGGCTCATGCCTATAATACTACATTACTCAGAAAGCTGAGATCTGAGGATCAATTCGAAGACAGTTTTGGCAGAAAAATCTTTGAGACACTTATCTCAACTACCCAGCAAAAGAAAAACAAAAGTGGATATGGAACTCAATTGGTAGAGTGCCAGCGATAAGGAAAAAAAGGCTAAACAAGATCATGAGGCCCTGAATTCTAGTACACACACACACACACACACACACACACACACACACACACACACTCTAAAAACAGTGAATTAGCACTTGGTAAGTCTAACATGTCTAAGAATGTTCTAGACTGTTTACATTTCATTCTTAAAATAGGCCTGGTGCAGGGCTGGGAAGGTGGCTCAGTGGTAGAGCGCTTGCCTTGCATGCCTGAGGCCCTAGGTTCGAGTCCTCAGCACCACATAAGCAAAAAGAAAAAAGCCGGAAGTGGCGCTGTGGCTCAAGTGGTAGAGTGCTAGCCTTGAGCTGAAGAGCTGAGGGACAGCGCCCAAGCCCAGAATTCAGGCCCCACGACCAGACCCCCCCCCAAAAAAAAAGAAAGAAAAAATAGGCCTGGTGCATCCTAGCTACTTGGGAGGCAGTAATTGGGAGTCATGGTTCAAGGTCATCTTAGGCAGAAAAGTTCCCAAGACTCCTCACTCAATGATAGGATCCATCACATCCATCCCAGGGGACCAGGTGGAGGCAGGCAGGCACAGGAGAAAGATTATTACAAGGTTTATTAGAGGAGCCATATTTCCCTCAGAAAGGGAGCACATGGCAGCCTCCACAATCTAGGCAGCAGCAAGGTCTAGGGGTAGGAAGTGAGGTAGACTGAAGCTCAGGTGGGTCTAGGCAGAGAGAGGGAGGGACCAGCTATATGGAGGGAACTCCAGGGCTGGGAGAAGCTCAGGTCTGCATGGAGCTGAGGACCAAAGGTGGGCATAATGCTTACACTCAATAGCTAGGCAAAGTGGAACATACCTATTAATCTAGCTACAGAGGAAACAGTGACTGAGCACAGGACCTATCATCTACAGCTACCCAGGTTAGAACAAGTATTAGGACTACAGACCAACCAGAGCAAGCATAAGAAATCCTACCTCATAAAAACAGTCAAGGCAGCTGGGTGCTGGGTGGCCTGTAATCCTAGCTATTCAGGAAGTTCATAGACAGCTGAAGCAGGAAAGTTCATGGGACTCTTATCTCCAATAAACTTATAAAAAGCCATTAGTGGAACTGTGGCTCAAGCACTGGAGCATTAGCCTTGAGCAAAAAACTTCAGCTACAGTGCCTAGTCCTTAAGTTCAAGCTCTAGGATTGGCACAAAAAGAAAAAAACAAAACAGCCAAGGCAAAATCATGTCAGAGGTATGACTCAAGTAGTAGTAGACTTTACAAATACAGGGCCTTGAATTCAATCCCCAGTAGCACTTTTTTTGGTCAGTCGTGGGGCTTTAACTCTGTCCCTGAGCTCTTCAGCTCAAGGCGAGCGCTCTACCACTTGAGCCACAGCACCACTTCCGGTTTTCGAGTGGTTTATTGGAGATAAGAGTCTCAGGGACTTTCCTGTCCCGGCTGGCTTTGAACCACGATCCTCAGATCTCAGCCTCTTGGGTAGCTAGGATTACAGGGGTGAGCCACCAGCACCCGGCTCAAAAAAAATTTTTTTAATAAATTTAAAAGAGAAAATAATAGATTTTGAAGTTTTGCTATAGTCAATACCCCCCCAAAAAACCTAGCAAATAAAAGAAATGAATTAGCTATGAATGGGAAAGAAAAGTTATCAAAAAGTTATAAAAAATCAAAGTCTTGGCATCTAGGGATCTAGTTTCTAGCCTATAGGAAGATAGAAAAAATGCACAGACTAACATTCTTTCCTTTTCCAAAAATGGTAGAATGGTGCCAAGAAAACTCAAACTTAACTCTACTCTACCTTTATAAACAAGTCACTTAACCTCTCTAGGTCATGGTGACAAACAGGGCACAATGAATGTTTCCTTGGTCTTTTTCAGTGTCAGTATTCTGTATGAACAGTGATGAGGAAAAAGTCCAAAGACATTCAAATGCAAGACATGCCCAGATAATTCAACACCCAAATATTCTTAGGGCCTGGATCCTCCTTCCATTGCTGGTCCTTTTATCACACAAGATCGGCACAAACTCTGTTCCCTTTCATGAGACTGGCTAGCAGATAATGTCAACAGCTAACATATTCAGCTTGTGGTATATCCTAACATATTAGTTGGTACTCTTTTTGTTTCAATTTTCTTCTCATTCTAATCACATTTTCACAAAATACTATAAGAGGAGACAACATATGTCCAACTTCTTTATGATTTGAGAGGAACAGATAATTTTTCATATCATATTATACTCAGGATACAGGTTTCTCCACAAATCTGGCTAGGTCATTCTGAAAATCAGTTTTGAAAAACAATCTTTTCAGCAACTTGCAAAGGGATTACCATAAGTAAACAAACAAGCTAAGCTCTTGCTTAGCTTCCTACATCCCCCAAGACTGGCACTCTACCACTTGAGCCAAATCTCCCCCTCTGGCTTTTTTGCTAGTTAATTGCAATAAGACACGTTTGTATTTGTCTTGTTGGACTGGCTTTAAAACTTAGTCCTCAGATCTCAGCCTCCTAAGTAGCTAGAGTTACAGGCATGAGCCACTGGCATCTAGCTAAGAAAAACACCTTTTTAAACTAATAGTCATGACTTTTTAAAATTGTTAAGTAGAAAGTCACTGTAGAGAAATATTTTTGAAGCCAGAAATGGGTGGCTCATATCTATAATCCTAGCTACTTGGAAAGCTGAGAATATGGAGACCATGGTTTGAGGCCAACCCCAGCAGAAAAAAATTCATCAGAGCCATTCTCAACTAAGATCTAGACTTAGTAGCAGTGTGCCTGCTAGCCTAGCTACTGAGAATGAACGAAAATCATGGCTGGAAGTATAATTCAGTGGTAAAAGTGCCTGCTTAGCATGAATTCAAAGGCCTAGCACTGCCAAACACAAAAATAATGAAATAAAGTATTTGTGTGTGTGTGTGTGTGCGCGTGCGCACGCACACGCAAGTACATATCTCTTTTGTTTGGTGGTTTTTAAAGTTTAATTTTATTGTAAAAGTTAAGTATTTTTAAGATACTTCTTAATTTACTTCTTTTGGAGGGGTTACAAAAATATATATCTAGACTAATAATCTACATGACATTAAACAAATTCCTTCTCTATAACTACTATTCATTCTTTTGCATTTGGTACAGTTTTGGAGTTTTTAATAGGACCTGTTTTATTTTTACTGAATTATGAAATTAAGTCTTCAAGTTTCATTTTGAACCTTGTAGGGCTGAATATTTGCTAGCAAGTCTTCCATAAATATAAAATTAATGCTAAAAACATGAGTAGGAATACTAACTTGAAGGCATAATTAGATTGACTTCAAACCTCATGAGTATATGAACTGTTTTATTTCTTTTTAAAACCTGAAACATGGTGATTAAATGAAGTAACTTCAAAGAACATCTGACTTTAGTTTTCATTCTGTCATTGTGAGATGTTTCAACTTCAATACAAATGCTCTAACTTCTTAATGCTCATAATTTTTACAGAAAAAAAAACATGGTGTTACATTTAGAAGTTCTAATGTTTATCACCATCTGATGCTGTCATGGAAGCAATTGCTACTTACACTCTTTTAAGAAGTGAGAATTGCAATTCCTCTAACTGATGACAATGTAATTATTCCTTTTACTGTCAAAACAGAGGTGATTTCCTTTCCTCACACACATGATTACATATGCTAATCCGAGCTTATCTACAATCTTCTGAGTGTACTGTTTGAATCTGAATGAGCAGATCACATGATCAGTGAGGCTTAGTGAGGAAATCAAGTCTACAGCCATCCACTCCAAACATTTGTATCATCCTTTCTTCTGCAGGAACTCATTCTCCAGCTTCCAGAGCTTTCAACACAATGTCATGTCTTCTACAACATACAGCAACAACCATTACAAAAATAACTAGGAGAGAAAAAGCCACAGCAAATCTGAATGTCTTATTTGGAGAAGTAAATGTTTTCATTAACTATTCATTAAAGCATATATCAGCCTTTAGAAAAACAGGAGCTTTCAACAAGGTCTCGGCCATGCTGTGACTACCCACATGGGTAAGTGATACCCTACCTGGTCCTTCAGCTGCTGTATAGAAGTCTGAAGATTCAGAATCTGGCTGAAGAGTGGACTCTGCAGAACTGACTTCAGAAGGCTCAGTTTTTCTTCGTTTGCTACATCCCCACGTTCTCGTAGCTTGGCTTGCAAGCGCTCTGCTGCCTGCAGGGCTCGGTTTTTGTCTATTCCAAAGAGCAGCATTAATCAATTACACATTCAAGTCTAAAGGTACATGTTAAACCTATGGATACTCTTAACACTATTCATCTGAACTGTACAAAATAGTCTTTTTTTACTATGGACAAAGTGGGTCTAAAGTAAAAAATATTTTAATGCAGTACAAAATAAAAAAACACTTTTTAATACTTTATTTTTTCTTCAAAATTGAATAGCATATTTGCATATGCTTCATATCAATACAAATAAGGGGAGAATAAACATGCTGCTCTAACTATGTCCTTCAAACCTTCAAGTCTCTTATAGAAAAATGTATGTGAAAGCAGGACACTGAGCACATCATATGCTACATGCAACTGTAAGGCCATAGAAACTTATTCACATGACAGATACTTGAATTCCAATGTCAGCTGCTTTATAAAAATACATAAACTAAATAATCTGTGATCTCAGAAATGTGGATATTTTCCTTTAAAAAAGATATGTCAAATTTTATCTAAACAAAGAAAAATTAGTAACATAATTAACTCACAAATAAGTAGATATGGATAACATCACCAATGAATGACAATATCTAAAATATAATGATATCATACAGGAGGGAGCAAAGCATCCTAAAATAGAAAATGTAAATGTGGTACATATATACAATGGAATTCTATGGCTCCATCAGAAAGAATGACATTGCCCCATTTGTTAGAAAATGGAAAGACTTGGAAAAAATTATATTAAGTGAAGTAAGCCAGGCCCAAAGCAACATAGGTTCCATGGTTTCCCTTATTTGCAATAACTAGTATATGTCTGACTCAAGTAGAAAAGGTCAGATAAGTTGATATTAGGGAAATGAACCCCAAGATAAGTATTTAAATGTTTGTTTTTTTTCTTTCATAGGATTGTTTCTAACATATTTATAAGATGATTTCTATGTTGCTTTGGATGTCCCTCTCCCACAGTATAACCCATGCTTTCACTGTATTTGATGTTGGTATAATTTGTGGAGGGGAAGGGAAAAAAACAAATCGTTTAACTAGGGATACAGGTGGACTCATTGCAACAATGAAGTGTACAAGTCGTTATGTCGAAAAACGAACTTAACAACTTTGGTGAGGGGTGGGGGGAGGATAGGGTGGGAGGAGGAGAGGAGTATGGGAAGGGATGGGAAGGGGAAACAAAGAGGAGGCAAAAATGCTTGATAAGAAATGTACTCGTTATCTTGCCCATGTAATTGTAACTCCTCTGTGCGGTATTCTCATAATAAAAAAAATAATTAGCAAGGAAAAAAAAAGAAAATGTATTAAGAAGCATTACATAAATCAGTCTTTTAAAGACACTTCTTCTGAAAAGAGAAAAGAGGAAAGAGGGTAATTGAGGGATACATGTGATTAAAATATGCCCTGTGCAAGTATGGAAGCATTGAGATGAAATATACCACTATGAACAATTAATATACAGTAATTAAAATATTTAAAAACTACTTAATACTAGAAATGCCTTCCCCCAAAATTAAATCACATATTTACATATGCTTCAAACCAATTCAATTAAGTTTTAAGCACCTTATGAGTCAGGTACAATGTTACAGAAAGTGTTTTTAATCAATATATTTCAATGGTCCTAATGTCATACATGCATGCTTCTATTTAACTTCCTGCACAGGCTCATGCCTAGAATGCAGTTCACCTATTTGTGGCTTTGAATCATTTGACAGGTTGGTACCACTACACACTGCTTCTCTCTGTGGAGATAGAACTTATTAGGCTATCTGTAAGGACTACCCTAGAATTATATTCTTCCAGATCTTAGCCTCCCACATAGCTTCAGATGACATGAATACACTACTGCACCTAGCAGTAGTGGGTTAAGAAAGGGTCACACAGACTTTTCTGCCCAGACCAGCCTCCAGTCAGAGCATCCTGAGTAGCTAGGGTTACAAGTATAAGCTTTTGTTTGGTTTTGTTTTGTTCCAGGGAGAGTGTTGAGATATATGCCCAATGCATTCATGATAATGAGTACATCTATTAAAATATATTTGCTATATAATGGTAATCAACAAGTGACAATTATTACCAGAGATAATTTCTATAGCACCCAATACCCAATTATACAGAAATACGGTAATTGAAATGACAACTGATCTTGATCCTGAGTTCACTTACATAAGCAGATTAAAATGAACCATATTTACTCATGCAGAATTTTTATCCTAAAGATACATATGATAGTATTATTCTGGGCCATATATCCATGGTAACTGAGTATTACTCATTTTCATACCAATTCTTAGAAGGTGTGCAACCTGGTAATGGCTAACAGAATAAAACTTTGAGAATCAATGATTTATGTAATTTTACACTTCTCTTTCCTTTCCACTTTCTAATGAGGAACTTTCCTAGATGGATTGGTAGTCTTTATAGTATATGACTTCAATTTAAAATGAGTAATGGAGGAAAAGTGCATCCAAGCATTTTAATGATCAGAATAGAACTGGGAACAAAAATCACATTATCACCAAAATAGCACTTTTTCCATTTATTGCCACCAACTTTCCCTCTACACCTCACAGTCTGCAGCTGTTAAGAAACAAGCCAGAATCATTTACGTGCCAAGTGACATGCAGATACTTTCCAATGGTCATACTCAAACAGTATGAGTAGAGGCAAGGTGTCCGACACCTGACATACCTGTAAATGGCTCTATAAAGTAATGTTTCTAAAGCTCAAAAATAGTGGGATAAAAGATGAGCCCATGAAACTGCATGAAAAGTTTGTTGGTAGGTTTGTTATTACTCTTTTTATCTAATAAAAGCAAGAAGTCAGTAGTATCTCACCAATACAACTACAAGAACTGTGGCCTTTTCTCAGGATTAAAACTACTAAAGCACTGTTAAGCACTGGAGCTCATGCCTGTAATCCTAGCTACACAGGAGACTGAGATCTTAGGATTACAATTCAATTTGAAGCCAGCACAGGCCGGAAAATCCATGACACTATTTTCCCCAATAAGCTACTCAAAGCCAGAAGTGGCACAGAGGCTCAAATGGTACCCTTAAGCAAAAAAAGACACTCAGGAATGGCACCCAGGCCATCATGATTCAAGCCCAAGGACCAACATACACATACACAGACACACACAGACACACACAGACACATAGACACACACACAAAGATATACAGACACACATGACACGGAACTTTTAACTTTCTGGGGCCATCCAGAAAGAAACAACGAAAACTGGTTCACTAATTAGAATTGGGCTTATTTTAAACCTTATTAAACCCCATGATTAATAAAATAGCTCATACTTACTTTTGCTTACAGTGATTTGTTTTTATAACACTTCAAATGAAATTGTCCAAATACAGAGATGGTAAAATGTTAGTAGATAAAAATTTTTGAATCTAAGTTACTATAGATAGAATCTTCCATGGAAATCTTATCATATTTAAAGATATCCAATAAAAAAAGAATAGTCTTACCTACGGTTTCCAACATATTCAAAGTTCAGTGTCCTTCTATAATGATTAAAACAGTGACTGAAACAGAACTCTGGGAAGAAAAGAAATGAAATGGAATGATTACATTTTATTCTAAAACTCAATACCTTTTACCATTACAATCCTGATTTAACTTAATATGTTTCTCTTTATAGACTAAAATTATCACTTTAAAATTCATTCAAAATCATATTGTCATTCCTACAACACTTGGATAAGGAGAAAAGCAAAATTTCTGTTTTAAAAAAAGATGGCAGAAGTTTCTAAAACATTTCCTAAGGATCTTCTTAGCACAGACCACTGTGCTCCTGAAATAATATATATAGTTCCTTAACAGAGAATATAGAGTATATTTGAGTCTATAATAAGAAATTCTGTGGGCAAAGATGTAAAAAAATACATTCTGTGTTCTTGACCCCAAATGACCAGTCTTAAGTGGGAAGCCAACAGACATATATCACTTAGAAATGAAGCAAGCCTCCAAAGCAGAACTATGAACCTCTATAATGTCTAAGTCCTGGGCTAATAAATGAATAAAAGAGAACACAGTGTTTTTTCAATTTTCAAAATACCTTTTTAACTTTAATGTTCTCCTCATTCCCATTCAAAAACACTCTTAATTTCAACCTATACATACCTTTCTCTAAGCTTAGTGCTTAACTAGTGTCCTAAGTACAGAGATCTGCACTGCTAATGTCCATACACTGAGCATTTCTGTTTGATGTGAACATTATTCTGCACAACAGTATCCATAGATGCATTTATCCTTTGCCTCACAGAAAAGCCAGTCATTAGGAAGTCAGTCAATTATTCTTCCAGTAAAGAAAAGGAATCTACCAACATACATTCTCATTCTTCAACTTGAAAATGATAAGGCCATTTCTCTGAGAAAATAAGTTGGTCTCTGTTACCTCTTTGTGGTGAGAAAAGAAAAAAAAAGAAATATATGATAGAGATGATGATGAGCACAGTACATCATGCCAGCAAGTTTTGCTTTGGGTAAAAACAGATAACAACAGTTAATGACTTTCCTTATCCCAATTTAGAACACACCACTTAAAAATACCAGCTTCACTGCAAAAAGGAAAATAGCTCAACTACTAACACTTTTTTTGGGGGGGAGAGGGGTCTGGTCGTAGGGCCTGAACTCTGGGCCTGGGTACTGTCTCTCAGCTCTTCAGCTCAAGGCTAACGCTCTACCACTTGAGCCATAGCACCACTTTTTTTTTTCTGGTTAGTGGTATTGAGGAATCGAACGCAGGGCCTCATGCATGCAAGGCAAGTGCTCTACCACTGAGCCACTTTCCCAGCCCTAACACTTACTTTTAAAAGATGCATGGTATCTAGAAAAGTTCTAACCAGGATTTGAAAGCCAGAGAACACTTAGCCCTCAGTAAGGAGACAAGAATCTCCCTCAGCTTCCTAGAACATTACTGACTCTATGATAAACTGACTCTTGTGATAATTAAGATAACATATAGTTATTTTCAGTACATAGCATAATATATAATTGTAAAATATATCTTCTTAATCAATGCTTAGCTTATATGGATAAGCATTGTGAGGCAAAACAAAAGAGAGCTTTAAAAAATGGCAATATGTTTATTATTTACAGGGAAAACCTAATTCTCCTCCAAAAAATAGCTTACTATTTAATACCCTCTCAAAAATATTCTTAGCTAGGTGCTGATGGCTCACTCCCTATAATCCCAGCAACTCAGGCTCTGATTCTCTATTAACCATCAAAAAGCTGGAAGTGAAGCTGTGGCTCAAATGGTAGAGTACTAGACTTGAGCAAAAAGCTCAGGGCCTTAAATTCAAGTTCCAGAACCCAAACCAACAAATAAATACTGTGTATGTATGTATATATATATATATATATATATATATGTATATATATATACATATATATATATGTGTATATATATACACACATATATATATACATATATATACTGCATGTAGATAAATATACTCTTAATTTTGTAACACTAACAATCAGATTTAGGGCCTCAATCACATTAGGCAAGTACTTTATCATTGAACTACATGTCCAATCCCAAAAAATATTAACTATGAAAAATTTAAAAATAAAAGTAAAGCTGGGTGCCGGTGGCTCACACCTGTAATCCTCACTTCTCAGGAGGCTGAGATCTGAGGATCATGGTTCAAAGCCAGCCCAGGCAGGAAAGTTCATGAGACTCTTATCTCTAATTAACCACCAGAAAACTGGAAGTGGCATTGTGGGTCAAGTGGTAGAGTGCTTGCCTGGAACTGAAGAGCTCAGGGACAGTGCCCAGGCCCAGAGTTCAAGCTCCATGACCAACACGCCCCCCCCCAAAAAAGTAAAGATACCCAAATATAGGAAAGACAGGCTTGCTGAGGTAGCATATGAATTTTAAGGTAATGCCCACTGTCAGTATACATGAACTGTTTGGGAAAGAAAGTAGAGTAAGAAGCTCCCATTTGAAAAAACACAGCTGTCCAAAAGGCCACCTACAACTCAGTTATGAAGAAACATGCTTACCTATTCCTTCCTCTGTTACCTGTTACCTCTCTCCAAGAAACACAAATAAGGATTTTTTTAAAGCTGATTTAGAAGTTTGTATCCAGATGACAAAAGAGGAGGCAACAATGTGCGATAAGAAATGTACTCATTACCTTGCTCATGTAACTGTAACCCCTCCTCTGTACAGAATTTTCACAATAAAAAACTTATTTAAAAAAAAGATGTTTGTACCCAGATGAAAGAAAGCATTATTACTGTGGGTTCTATTTCAGTGATTCTTAAAAAAGAAAAAAAAAGCACAGTTTCATTTATTCTGCTCTAATGTCTCTAAATAAAAACATAGCTTTTGAATTTTCCAGGACATTTGACCATCAGCAACCTTGACAAAAAGTTCAAAAGAGAATTATGCCTTTTTGTGCTTTATCCCAAAATTTCATTTCTAATCACAAACACACTTACCTATTATCAGAGAACTTTTGAAGTGGAGAAACAGAATCTATTCTTCAGCTACAGCCATGAATTCCTTTCTCCCTTTCATCCTTTACTATCACTTGTCCCTTTACCCATCTCTACACTATGAGGAAATATAAGGGAACCTGGGAAATAAAAGCAGGCCATAGCCAACAGACAAATCCTAAAGGATATCCAACAACATGTCTGTCATCCAAATTCTAATGCTTTTTCCTGGGCATGAATGAATGACACTGGTGACAAAGGTGAACCAGAGGGGCAGTAAAAACAAGGGATGGGCAGGGAAAAGCATGGAATCATCAACACTAACTCTGAGACAAAGGCAACAATCATCACACACAGAACCTACCACATACTGGGCACTAATGCACTCATGTTATTCAATTACATTGTTTAATCCTCATACCATCTACTTGCTTTACACAGGAAGAAGCCAGCATAGATGGGTAATAGGCTAAGGTCACGCCACCATAAATAACGGAGCCCAGGTTTGAAAACAGGAAGTTTGGTTGCAAAGTTCACAACTTAACTTCTACCAGGAAGCTTCCCTTTGCTATTCTTTCCTCTTTCTGAATTCAAAATTGCCATAAAGGTCTTGCCCTACACAAGATGAAACCAAAGGAAGAAATTCAGTCCTGAAGTCAATGAAGTCTGAAATGAAACAAAACAATACAGACATGCCACCCAGCCAAATGTCCATACCAGGTCTCAACAAGTCAGAATTAACTAATTTGGAAACCATTTTTCAAGTCTGTCAAAGAAAAACAGTTATGTTTTTATGTTATGCTACGTTATGTTCATATATTTTTAAATAAATCAATATAAAATTCAAGATTTTAAGAAAAGATTCTTAAGAGAAAGCAAGTGTCTTTATCTTAATATCCAAAGTATAGTCGAACCCATAGTTGTTAAATTTCACAGTACTAAAATCTCTCAACTAAATGCAGTAAGAATATCCAATGTTAAAGAAGCATTAGTTCCCTATTATCTACTGTTCATGTATTCTACTTGTGGTCCTATCACTATTTGGTTTATAAATGAACCCAAAATCTGTTTTAATAACCACGTGCTCAAAAGACACATCAGTATTAGTTTAATTTATTCAGTATCTAATAGATAGATAAATCACAGGAGCAGGAACTATCAGTACCTTGCTCTCTCAAATATGCTTGAGTTCTGCTCTATTTTCCAGATAAGACATCAGCGTTAAGAAGAGGTCAATCTTTAGCTTTCTAAGGACCCTCCAGACTGCTTTCCAAAGTGGTTGTATAAGTGTACATTCCCACCAGCAGTGTAATAGGGTTCCT